AAGACTATATTTGTCTAAAATCAGTGTGTGAGACAATAAAGAATTTAAAACAGGAAAGTATAACTATGAAAACTTAAAAAAAATCATCTGAACCCAATACCAAGAAAAACACTATTTACCATCATTTCAAGTGAAATCTTCATTCATATTTATATACATCGAATGAAAAGTGGATAAGTAGGTAAAATGGGATCGGTATAATATTGTCACAAAGCGAACATATATTGCAAAGGTACTGTGCAAATAAAAATCTCGGATTTAATCTTACATTTATCAAATGAAAACAGAATCAATGAAATTGAAGGGAATGGTGAACTTCAATTAAATATTTCTTCAGAACTAAAAAAATTTCCTAAAAGCTCCTCTACTATGAACATAGCCAGGAAAAGCACTAAAATACTGCAATGATTATTTCTTTAATGACACTTCTTACTATGGATCAACTCTGTTGTAAAAGGAATGTCACAGGATTAACCTCTTCTCTCCCATTTTCCTCCCATTCACAATTGTATTAGTTTTTCTTTTTTACATTGCCTAACTTTAATATTAACACTTTTATGGCTAGCCGTAAATATCAAGACCTTTATAAAACAGTTTTTATAAGGTGATTCATATGGACACAAAGTTCATCAGCATTTCCTTTTATCACAGCTTTTCAACTCTAGATTCTTTTATTTTGATTCATCTCTCAGTTGGTGGGATTTTGTTCTTCAGTAATTTTCTCTCAGTTGGTGGGATTTTGTTCGTTAGTAATTTTCTACAAGAAGGGGTCATGGGTGACCGGTGTTCTTTCTAGCAAGCCTATATGACTCATTTTTTTACTAACACTGTGGTTTTTACATTTCTAAGGCTTCTGGAAAAAACATTTCTCCCACCAGAATAAACACAGCAGGCAACACCAGGTGGTCTCAAACTCATTCAGCTTATCTTGTTTAGCTGCACAAGGCTTTAGGGAACACTTAGGGCCCCATAAATTTCCAAGTGGAAATTCCATGTGGGTCAGGGTGAGCTTATTCAAGAGAAGTCCTGGTCATTTGCATGTCATTGCCTCAGATAACGAAAATCATTCCAGCTGACTTCTGAACACTGGATTTTCAAAGTACTCATTAGTATGAAACCATTTATGGAACACATATAGCTCTTTCCAACAAGGGTACTATGACTGCTTATTACAAGGATACATTAAAATGAGACTAATAAAACTGAAATAAGGTTGGGAAATTCAAACCAAAGAAAGAATAAAGATGTCCCAAAGACGAATAAAGGTGACTTGAGTCAGCTGCTAAAGTACTAACTTCCTAAAGACTTAAAAACCAAACCAGGCAATGGTGTTTCGAGACCCCTCCCATGGGCCACCTGTACCCTCTGTTCAGGGAAACTGCATGAGCAAAAGCAGGGAAAAGATCTCCCTGGGTTTCAACATAAAAGCCACAGAGAATAATTCCAGCACTAAGGCCTTTTCCCCCATCATAGGTTAGAGCATAGTGTGTAGGTTTTGGCATCAGAAAATGTCCACAGATTCCTGTGTGACCTTAGACGAGTCGTTTCTCTTCCCTGAGCCTGTTTCCTCATTGGCAGGCTTGGGGTCTCCTTGGGAGCTCTCCGGATTGACACCCCGCAGCAGCTGAGACACACTGCACAGAGCAACTGTTTTTTTTTTATGTGATACAGTTTTATAGGCACTGGGATTCCCCCCACCTCTCCCACAACCCTTCCCCCATGGTGGATTCCTCCACCTTGCTGCATAACCACAGTTCAAGTTCAGTTGAGATTCCTTAATTGCAAGCATATACCTAGCATAAAGTCCAGCATCTTATTGTCCAGATAAGTTCAGTGGCTTCTTGGGGAGACCTTCTCTGGTCTGAAGGTAGAGCTAACAGGGTAAAGTTCCAGTCAGTTAAAAACCCCAACAAAACATCAGCAACAATATACAATGTTATGGAATTAATTGACATAGCATTGAGTAAACAATATGTTAAAGATAATGCAAGTTCAATTCTTCAAAACACATGGGTTGAGATGGCATCAATGACAGGTTCAAAAACTAACAAATAAATAAACAAACAAAAATTACAGGTTAAATCAAGGCAAACATGTAGTATCTAACCTTTTGGGATTTGCTCATTTCCCTTAGCATTATAGTTTCCAGTTGGGCCCATTTAGCCAAAAAGAACTGCATTTTGTTTTTTTAATAGTTGAGTAGTATTCCATGGAGTAGATGAACCAAAGCTTTCTTATCCAATCTTCTGCTGATGGGCATTTTGGTTGCTTCCATGTTTTTGCAATTACTGATTGTGTTGCTATGAACATAGGGATGCATGTTGCTTTGTCGTGAAACAGGTGTTTTGGATATATTCCTAGGAGTGCTATTGCTGGGTCATATGGTATGCAGATTTTGAGTTGTTCGAGTGTTCTCCAGACTGATTTCCATAAAGGCTATACCAACTTGCAGCTCCACCAGCAATGGAGTAGGGTTCCCTTTTCCCCACATCCTCGCCAACAAGTGTCGCTGAGCAACTGTTCTTTCCAGTGTGACATTTGCTTCTCTTCCACTGAGGGGTAGGGGATAGGTTGTTTGGAATCACACACTCGAGTTTTTGGGAACTTGTTCCCTGATCCCTGTCCTAGTCTCATCCACCCCATGAGGAAAAGGTTCTATGGGCCCAGACTTGGGGTGGGCATTGTGACGCAGCTGGTATTCCATATAAGCACTGGTTTGCATCCCAGCTGCTCCATCTCTGAACCAGTTCCCTGTTAATGCAACCAGGAAAGCAAAAGAGAATGACCCAAATGCTTGGGTCCCTGTCACCTACATGGGAGACGTGGATGGAGTCCTGGCTCCTGCATTTGTCCTGACTCAGCTCTGGCTGTTGCGGTCATCTAGGGAGTGAACCAGCCAGTAGAAGCTCTTTCTCTGTCTCTCCCTCTTCCTCTGTAACTCTATCTTTCAGATAAATAAAATAAATATTTCTTTTAAAAAAAATAAAATAGAAAAGGGCCAGACTGGGAACTCCATAGTCCCTAAACACTGAAAAGTATAGGCTATCGCTTCATATACAGCCCCCAATACAAATAAGACTAAAGAATAAACTAAATACAAGGAAGGTAAACAAAGTTCTCACCCCAACCCCCCACATACTACATAATGCCTCTGAAGTTATTGTAAAAAAAAGCAAATATCAAATTATTCTCCCCCCCCATACATACATATAGAGTTTTCCTTCTTTGTTTTGCCCCTTTGGTTTGTATCTCTAGGTTTATACATTTTTGTGGTGTGTGTGTGTGTGTGTGTGTGTGTGTGTGTGTGTGTGTGTGTGTGTGTTTCTTTCTATGTGTGTAGAAAAACTTGGGGCAATGATCTGTGTTTTGGGAATTTGCACAGAACCAGCCAGTCCAGTGGCAGTGAAAACAAGACCTGTGCCTGGGATACTGCGAGAGGTACCTAGGATCAGCACAGCCTGCAGCTTGTGGAAAGGACCAGATGTAACTGCTGTGGGTAATCTCCTTGCCGCTGATGACACCCTCACAGTAGCCTGCCCCTGTCCTGTCCTTCACCCCCTTCCATGGCCTCTTTGGTAGATCAGTTGAGGTACTCAACCTTCTACACTTTCCTTTCTCCTTGGCTCAGCAAAGCACTGTGCCACCCATGTATACAGGAGAGGCACACAGAACTGTGGTGATTCAGCAGGACCAAAGAGGGGCAGCCGAGTCTTCCTGATCATGTCACTGACACATTGCCCAGCTCATTTGTTTGGTTCTCTTTTTAAAGTCTTACTTATGACTTCATTTGTATATGAAAGGCAGAGTGACAGAGAGACAGAGATTTTGCATTCACTTATTCCCTTTCCAGATGCCTGCAACAGCCAAGGTTGGGCCAGGTCAAAGCCAGGAGCACAGAACTCCATCTGGTCTTCCACATAAAGTGGCAGGAACACAAGAGCTTGATTCACCAAACATTGCCTCCCAGAGTGTGCATGAGCAGGACAATACATTGGAAGTGCAGCGGGGACCCGACTCCAGGTACTCTGGCCTGGGACGCAAGCATGTTGAATTGCACTTTAACTCTATGCCAAATGTCCACCCTATTCCTTTGGTTCTCACGTGCAAGCCAGGTTCCTAACATCATTTGTTGATGACATAGAATGCTGGCATGTAAGTCCAAGGCCATATGCCTTAGTGCAAACTATTAAAAGCACCCCATACTCTCTCTACCACCATTGGTAGACACATCCCAATTAGACACTTGGCTTCATGGAGGGTTGGCACTTCTTTGGCCACAATGGCACTCCCAGCATGATGATGGGCATGGGCTCCTACTGTCTGTCTATGTGCTTTTGTGTGTTACACAAACCACACAATGCACAACAGCCCTTCTGCATAAGGTGTGTAAGGTTTAAAATATATGGGACTCTTTCAAACTGTAATAATGCTTTCCATCATTTATATAAGTATTCATTCTAATAAAGAAGAAGTAGACCTTGGAATCACAGGCCCAGACAATCTAAGGACTGTGGCACATGGAAAACAGAAAATCACTCAGAGATTATCAATTCCTCAAATAAGAAAGTACTTCAGTTCAATAAATACTAACTATAGTTACCCAGAGTATCCTTAGGATACTGGTTCCAGAACCCCTGAGAATACCCAAACTCACATGTGCTCAAGTTCTTATATAAATGCTGCAGTAACCTACACAATTCTTCAGTATACTTCGCATCATCTCGAGATTATTTATCACATGTGACATAATGGGAATGATGAATAAATCATTGTGATACTATGTTTCTTAAGGAATAATGAGGAGAATGTCTGTACAGTCAGTAGACAAGCCAAGAGTTTTCTCCTACTTGGTCCATCCCAATTTGCAGAGGATTTTGTAGCCATGGAGTGCTGACTGCACTAACAAAAACAAAACACTTCAACATGCCCCAGTGCGGGGTCCCAGGGAGGGCTGGGGGTCACTGGTCTGTACAGTGGGCTGCTCTGGGGTCCTGACTCACCTCCACAGGTCTCCTGTATCCGCACCACATCACCAATCTGTAGGGAAAGCTGGGGAGCTCCATTGCCTTCAAAGTTGTATATGGCTGTGAAAAGGAAGAGAGAGACAATCAGGTGAGACCTCCAGGTACCTTGGATCTCTGCTCCTTCCTGAGCTTGCTGTCTTCAGTCCATTCCACACCCAGGCAATCCACAGAGTGAAACAAACATTGAAACCTCTTTCGGGTCCCAGGAGTCAATCCAGACCCAGCAAGGCTCCCAAAGCAGGCATCGCATTCCTGTACACCCTCCTCTACTCCAGTCTCAGTGACAAGGAGGCTGTTTATATCATGTACTATGGGGCTGGCTTCAGACTGCACACCAAGCATATGCTTGAACAGCCTCTCATTCCAACCTCACAGCAACCCTGAAAAGATTGGGTTCTGCTCCCAAAGGAGGAATCAGGGGGACTGGGAAGTTAAACATTCTGACCAAAGCCACGAGCTTATGAAGTATCACGAAAAACAGCAGCATCCAGCTTGCATATCCCCGGCCACAGTGACAGTCTTCAGGCTGCTCCTTAGGGCTTCATCGTGGCAACACCGGCCTAGCACAGTTGGCACTGCTCCAGCGCCATTCCACCTTCACTGTCCAAGTAAGCCACATCTCCCTCTCACCCAGCTTCAGCCCGCCTTGTTCCTCCAGCTAGAGAAGTCTGCCCCTCAGCCTTCCCCAAAGCACATCTTTCACTCCAGAGTCTAGCTTCCTCAGTGACTCTCCCCACTCCCAGTTTCTTCAGATCACAGACTCCCTTTTCCCAACCGTTGATGGTGATTAAGTGAGGATTTGACACACCCCTCCCCCTACCCATTGATTCTCCAGTTCCGGGGAACAAGAGTTGGCCAGGAACAAATCTGAGTCCTGTCTACACCGTCAGGGCCTCCACTTTGCCTTGGACAACAGATCAGGATATGCCAGTGCAGTGCTCAGGCCCCGCCACCTGCTCCCAGTCTCTGCAGCCTGAGTGTTGCTTCCCGGGACTGGAAGGAATCAGAGTGAGTACTGTTGCAGTTGTCTTATCCTTTCTGTGGATTCCCTGAAGGATTACCAACTAAGCTTATCTTTGTTTCCCTTCACTCCAGGCAGAGAAGCAGCTACGGAGAAAACGTAGTCAAAACCTTTCAAAGGAAAAAGAGCTACCTGCTTCAATAGGGAGCAGTAAAAGTAATTGAGGGGGAATTTTTTTTTTTTTAAATCCACCAAAATCCCTCTGAGGAAAAGATAAGAATGAAGTGCTAGGGCCAGAGCAATGGCTTCGTTGGCTAATTCTCCACCCGCAAGTGCCAGCATCCCATATGGGTGCTGGTTCATGTCCCAGCTGCTACAACTCCCATCCAGCTCCCTGCTTATGGCCTGGGAAAACAGCAGAGGATAGCCCAAAGCCTTGGGACCCTGCACCTGCGTGGGAGACCGGGGAGAAGCTCCTGTCTGCTAGCTTCAGATCAACTCAATTCTGACCATTATGACCATTTGAGAGGCGAACCAGCAAATGGAAGATCTTTGTTTCTGTCTCTCCTTTTTTCCGTAAATCTGCTTTTCCAATAAAAATAAGTAAATTTAAGAAAGAGTGAAATGCTTTAGGGAATAAGGGTTTTGACAGATTTCCGCACACACAGCTGGAATTTAGAGAGCTAGGCATTAGGACAGCCACTTCTTGAGAAAAGCTGAGAAGCCCTGAACTGTCCCCTCCGGCTGACCTTTAAGCTCCAAACAAGCAGGAAGCTGGGCTAGGGCAGAGCTGGAAATGGCCTGACTCAGCACTGAAGGTGTGCCCCACCACAGACAGTCAGCTGCAAAGATCAGACTTTCTGTTTTCTTTTACAGCAAATATTTAAGAGCCTTAGTGACTACACACAACAAACAGTACAGTCTTCACAAAAACACTTTACGAAAGCCTAAACAATATTATCTACAGCTATGAAAACAAGCACTTCCCAGAGTCGACACAGTGCAATATTCAAAAGGCTCTCTTTTCCAACTCAAAATTACAAAGAGCAAAAAAAAAAAAAAAAACAAGGACGTGTATCTTATTCACAGGGTAAAGGAAAGTAATAGAATTTGTCCCTAAAGAAGGGCATATTCTTCATGTATGAGACAAAGATTTTAAGTTAGTTGTCTTACACGTGTTCACAGAGCTCAGGAATCTGTGGGAGAAGAAGAAGAAGCCAGTGGAACGATGCCTCAGAAAATAGAGAATATCATTAAAGTGACAAGCATTACAAAAAGGGATCAAGTAGAAATTCTAGCGTGAAATGTAAAAATGGCATATATGAAAAGAAATATATTTTTAATTTTTATTGGAAAGTCAGATACAAAGAAAGAATGACAGAGAGGAAGATCATCCATCCACTGATTCACTCTCCAAAGTGGCCACAACGGCTATAGCTGCGCTGATCTGAAGCCAGGAGCCCAGAGCCTCCTCTGGGTCTCCCACCGGGCCCCCACATAGGAAAAGTTAATTGGAAAGATTCTGTAGTGTATTTGAGCCGGCAGAAGAATGAACCAGTGACCTTAAAGAGAAGTCACTGGAATTAGCCATCCTGAGCTGCAGAAAGAACAACAAACAGTCTCAGAAATCTGCGAGGCACTAGAAGGCACAGCAACATTCACCGAATGGGAGTTCAATCATGAGAAGACAGAGCAAGGTGAAAAGGAAAAACTGGAGACTGGAACGGCCGAAAAGAAGAGAACTAAGTGGAAGGTGGGACTGCACACCCAAGAGGCTCAATGAGGCTGAGGCAGGGTAAGCTCAAGAGTTCCACGCGGAGACACAAAAGCTGCAAACTCAAAACTAAGAACGGATAGAGAAACCCAAAAGTGGTGAGAAAGTCATTCAGTATGTACGAAGGGGCCCTGAATAAATGAAGAAACAATTTCTCTTTTCGAACCATGGAGGTAAGAAGGTAGTGAGATGACATATTCAAAGTGCTGAAAAGAAAATTAAAAACATCTTCCAACAGCCATTTGGGAGTAAACCAGCGGAGAGAGGATCTCTCTCTCTCTCTCTCTCTCTCTCTCTCTCTGTTTACTTTGGGGCTTGGCACAGCACTCTAATCCTCCATCTGCAGCATCTGCATCGTAAATGCATGCCGGTTCAAATCATAGCTGCTCCACTTCTGATCTAGCATTCCTGGCCTGGGAAAGCAGCGGAGGATAGGCTCCTACACCCACAAGCCAGACCCAGAAGAAACTCCTGGCTCTTGGCTTTCCACTGGCTCAGCTGCAGCCCTTGCAGCCATTTGGGGAGTAAACCCGCAGAAAGATCTCTTTCTCTCTCTCTGTTTATATCACCTTAGAAGTTAAATACTAATAAAAACTACATAAGCACCAATAAAAACCGAGGGAATCTGTCACTAGTAAATTTGAAGACAGCTATATAAAATAATATTGATCCACATACAATCTCCTGCATATGACACCAAGATGTAATTTATAACAGCAACATTAAAATGAAGATACACAGCTAAACAGAAGCAGAGGTTTTTGTATACTATTGATTGTATATATTGTATATTTGTATACTATTGATATTTATATATTGATATAAATTTAATACATTAAATTGCAAATATCAAGCTACTCACTAACACAATAACTACAAAATTTCAGAAACACAAATAAGAATGGAACTTACATATAACACATGAAAAAAAAACTAAACACAAAAGAAATAGTAACAAAATTTAAGAACAAAAATAAATGGCAAAATACGTAGAAAACAAATATCAAAATGAAAGAAGGAATTCCTTGCTTATCAGCATTTACGTTAAATGTAATCAGATTAAACTATATATCAAAGGCAGAGATTGGCAGAAAAAAATTAAAACATGATCCAACTCTACTATCTGCAAAAATCAGTGTGTCAGTAATGACTCGAACAAGTTCCACTGGAAGAGAATGGAAAAAAATGTTTTGTGCACATAGAAACGCTGCAGAAAGCTAATTTGTAGACAATTTAGACTAAAAGTCAAAACTTGTTACACAAGACAAAGAAAAACATTACATATTGGCAAAAAGATCAATATATCACGAAGATATGACTCTAAGCAACAAATATAGGTTACTAATAATAGAAAACAAAAATTCATGAAACACACATTGACACAATTAAAGGGAGAAACGATTTTACAATAGTAGTGGAAGATTTTAATACATTACTACTACCAATAACAGATAGAACACCCAGGCAAACAATCAATAAGGAAATAGAAGACTTGGAATGTGCTCTAAGTGCTATAAACAAGTCAATTAAACTGATTTATCCAGAACATTGCACCCTACAGCAGAACCAACATTCTTCTCAAGTGTCCAAGGAATATTCTTCAGGATGGATCATAGGTAAGAGCTCAAAACTTATCTCCATAAATTAGGACTCTGTTATCAATCAAAGCATCTTTTCAAGGAAAAGAAACAGGGTTGAAATCAATAACAAAGAAAATTTGAAAGAGCACAAGTGTACGTATTATAATATACTCGCAAAGCACCTGTGGCTTAAAGAACACTCAAGAGAAATTAGAAAATAGCTATAGATAAGTAAAAAGGAAAACACTCTCTATAAAACTTTATGGAGGCAGGTAAAGCAATGATCAGACAGTAATTTGTAGCCATAAAGATCTACATTTAAAAAGAGAAGCAATCTTAAATCAATAATTCTATCTTTCTACCTTTAGGGACCAGGAAGAGGAAAGGAAATAGTAAAAAAATGGAAGCAGATGTAAGTGAAGAAGAGAAAAACAACAAAGAATTAAAACCAAAAGTAGATTCTTTGAAAAGATAAGGTTGATGATGAACTTTCAGGCAGGTTAAAAACACAGAGGTCTCAAATAATCAAAACCAGAAATGACTGTCAGAACATTATTATCTACTTTCTTTATTTGAAAGGCATATTTACAGAGAGCAAACAAGAGTCAGAAAAAGAGGTCTTTGACCTGCTAGTTCATTCCTAAGATGGCCATAACAGCCAGAGCTGAGCCAATCTGAAGCCAAGGAGCTCAAGGAACTGAGCAATCCATTACTGCTTTTCCAGGACATAAGCAGGGAATTGGAT